GATCTACGGTGTCTGGCGGTCACTCGTAAAATGATGTGTGGTGGGTCCTCTTCGGCCTTGTTGATCTCCGAAGGGCATTGGGCCTCCTCTTGGGTCCTAAGTGGATTGCTATGCATAAGTTTCTGTGGATTTGTTTCACTAAAGTACCCAGACTAACTCATAGTGACCCGACGGGAAGGGGGCAGGGAAGTGCTGTGGTCACTGTCACAGCACAGGAAGGTTGGTACAGACTTGGCATTCATGTTATTAAAGGAAAATGAAGTTAGAGAGTATCCAGGGTTAACTTCATTGAATTGCCTTATTCATTCGTTCATTCATTGAAGAAGCAAAGGAGTTTTGTTGTTGCTGTTAGGTGGGTGGAATCCATGCGTATGTGCAACAGAACAGAACATTCCCCAGTCCTGCACCATCCTCAAAAGCATCACATGATTGAACCCTTGTTGCAGCCTCCTCATCAATCCTTTTCAGGGAAGAACTTCTTACACTGACACTCTGCTTGACCAAGCATGATATCATTCTCCAGGGCCTGGTTCCTTTTGGCCAAAGCATGTGAACTGAAGTCTCATCATCCTCACTTCTAAGGAACACTGGCTGGCTGTACACCTTCCAAGAAAAAGATATTCATTCTTCTGTCGGCCATGACCCACTCAATACTCTTCACCAACACTGTCATTCAATGCATTAATTTCTCTTTGGTCTTATTCAGTCCAGCTTTCGTATGCTCTTGAAGTGACTGAAGATGTTCTGGGTTGGGTCAGGTGCACCTTAGTCCTCAAAGTGACATCTTTCCTTGTTAACACTGTGGAGAGAGATTTTGAAAGATTTCCCCAAAGCAGTAAGTCATTTGAGTTCATGACTGCTGCTTCACATGGGTATTGTGGCTTCAAGTAAAATGAAATCATCACTGGTTTGCATTTTCCCCATTTACCATGATGTATTTATTGATCTTGTGAGGATTCTTGTTTTCTTTATGTTGAGATATAATCAGGGAATACAGAAAGCTGTATCTTCCCCAGGATCTTCCTCAGTAAGCGTTTCAAGTCCTCTTCACTCTGAACAAGCAAGCATGACTTTAGGAGGACACAAGTTCTGCTCTAATTGTTTAGAAACAATCATTTTAGAAACTTTCCAAAATGATATTTTGGAAATGGAAAAAATGAAAGCATACAAAACACATTTTATATAATGTCGGAAGCTTGATAAGTGCTATTTCAGTCAGGTGATTAAGAATAGCATCAATAATGATATCCTGTAGATAGTACTTTATGATGAAAATAGAACTCTTTCTGGCTTTAACTCCACTTGGTCATTCTATTTCTCATCCAGAAACTCACAGGAAAACATTGGGAAAATCCCAAATTCATGGAATTCTGCAACACACGAGAACAGTATTTCTCAAAACTATCAACTGCCTTACAAATAAGTGTAAGGTAAACTGAGGCACAAGGAGGGGGACACACATAACTGACAGGACAAAGGGAGAACAGAAACAAATAGTTTTATTAGAGGGAAGCTCCGGACGAGGATCCACGGGCTAGCCAGTAGCCCAGGGAAGTCGTGCCCGGTGGTCAGGGTGGAGGGTTTTTAAAAGAAGGTGCCTGGGGTCAGGAAGCCTACAAGAGGGCAGGCATTGTAAGCCTCTGATAACAATCTGTCGGCTCCTTGTGGGGCTCTGTGTCCAGGAACTCGAGGTCGCACTACCTAAGCTGGTTGTTCGTCTTGGCTCGTTTGGCCTGGCCAGTTTTCTGCTTGGAAGGGAGGCCCTTAACTTTGCCCACCTGACTCCATCCAGACATTAAGAAAGGTCTGAGAACCTGTCGTAGCCCAATGAAGCCAAGGGAGATATGAAGCGTAAATGTTACCTGGCATCCGGAATGGAACCCTAAAATGGAAAAAGGGCATTTGGTAAAACCTAAAGAAATCTAATGAACTATGTATGAACTTTTGCTAATAATCATGCATCCAACTTGCCTAGTTGATTACAAATAATATGCACACTGATGTAAATGTTAATAGGAGAAACGAGGTACATAGGTGTACAGGAACTGTGAACCCTGGGTTCTGTGCTTACTTGGTTGCATCTGTAAGAAGAGGGTGGGGGCGTGGGTGAAGCCTGAATTTTCAATCAGGTCACAGCCTGAGGTGATGCTGCCTTGTGGGTGTGGCCTGTTTGTAAGAAACACTTTGGGCAATCAGCTTCTCTCTGGCCTGCATTCGCCTTCCTGCTCGCTTGAGTCCCGTGCCTGGCTTCTGGGGCTGGTGGCCGAGCTGTGGCCTGCTGACCCCAGGAGCAGTCAGTGGCCTGCCATGTTCCCTGCCTTGGAGCCAAGCAACTTGGCTTCTGCTGGCCTACATTCTTCCCGCCTGCTGACTCACGTCTGGGTTCTTCCATTGGCAGCTGCACAAGGGAGGAAAGGCCTCCAGGTGGCATCTGACCCACGGAGAGGAGGTGGATGGAGCTGGCCCCTCAGCAACTGTGTGGACTGCCTTCGTTATAAGCTATTTTCTTGATCTGTTTCCTTCTTATCCAAATATGTGTGCCACTGGTTTTGTTTCTCGTGAAAACCCAGCATGCCCTTTGGACATTCATTGGAAGATTTAAAAGAACTTCATAACACTGCCTGAGCAGGGCAGAGGCCACAGGGCTGTGTGACTGAGAAGCTAAAGACCAGAGAGGCCGGCCTGTGAGCATAATTGTATGCTGAGCCTTTGTAACTTGTTAGCTTTTCTAACACACACCATCATTGTATATTCTATGAGTTCAGTGTGGCCATTGCAATGAGTTATCAAACCAGCTGAGAAGTTGAGAATGCTAGGGGGGGGTGGCGGGGATTGGTGTCCACACTGTTGAGAAGGATGGAGGGTGAGGATATCTGGCTTCAGCCTCCTAGGAAGTGACCTTGGGCAGCTGATGCTATTGATGGTGACCCTTCCCTCCCTCTGGTACAGCCAAAGGAGTTGAGACACTGGCCCCCTCCCAGGCCACTCATTTCTGAAGCAAAAGACTGGCAAAATCAAGTGTTCTTGGGGATATGAAGAGGCTAAAATTCTCAAGCCTGGTTTATGAGAATGAAAATTAGTGCAATTGCTCTAAGAAACAGTGTAGCCCTTTCTTTTAAGAGTAAACATACACTTCCCATAATATTGAGAAATTTAATTTCTAGAAAATTAGTATAAAAACAGTAGAAATATTTTGCACACACATACAAAAATAAAATATAAAATGAAAACATTAACAACAAAAATAGCAAGATCCTGAGATACTTACGAGTGAGTGTCATTATGTCTGTAGCTGAATCGTTGAAAGTTTTTGGTTTGGAAGGAGAAGATCAGAAAGCAGGATGAACAAGAAAGAGGAACAATGTGACAAAATGTTTTTTAAAAACATTTTTTAAATGTTTTAAAAACATTTAAAAACATTATCTCCTTAGCAACACGGTAAAGTTCCAAAGACAGGGTTATCATACAACATCAGCATTTTATGAAAATGGAATGTGATCATATTAATAAGAAAATTAAAGATGACTACATCATTAGATGACTGCCAAATTGCATCTTTGCATAATTGCCAAACCATTGAGAACTCTGGCCCCACCAAATTGAAACAAGCCCCTGTCTAAGCCAGCATGACTCTTGCCTTGCGGCTTGGAGTTTGTTACTCACTGTCAATGTGCACAAGAGTCAGGTAGCGGATTTTTTTTTACTGCTGTCATCAATGCAACTTCTGGATAAAAAAATAGTCAATAAGTGAGGAGAAAGTAAATTTGAGTTAGTGTGTTACTCTTGTACCTTTTCTAAGTTAGTGTGTTACTCTTGTACCTTTTCTATAGGTTTGAAATTTTGCGGAACAGAAAACGGGGGAAAGTAAGCTCACTGATAGATAACATTGGTAAGATGACAGGAATTTCTTTCACAGTTTTATTGGCACTTCATCCACATATCATATAATTCTGTAATAGGATGACAGACCTTTCTTGAAGGGTCTTTTTAAAAAAATTTTGCTAATCAGGCAGGCCAAACCATTTATGTTATTTATATTGCCCAACATAAATGTGGCTTAAAATGTTACCATAGAATAGAATAGAATGTCCTCACTGTTTATTAGAAGTTTCTCAGAGGTTCAACCAAATTTAGGATTGTATATTTAACACAAGTCCAACCCAGTTGTAAATACAAAATGGTATTGAGATAGTTTATTGTGCCAGCCTGGCCGATAAACAAGTGGGATTAACTGAAGGGCGGTGAGATAAATGGCTTGGTGAGCCTCGTCTTTCTTGTCTCTCGTTCTTTGATCATTGGACCAGTGTGCGGCTGCCTTGCTTGTTCTGTTTCTCAATTTAAAGGCTACACTACCTGTGGGACGCCTAACCTGTGGACTGTGTCGCTGTAAGTTGAGGTCCCTTTAAGACATCTCTGGAGCTGGGGACTGGCGATTGGTGAACTGGCTGGCAGTTGGTGACCTGCCTTGTGATTGGCTGCTGTGCTGACATAGCCTAGCTCTCTCTATAAATAGAGGAAGATCTGGCAGCAGACTAGACTTGAAGGACTGCTAATCTCTCACAACTCTCATGGATGTGAGTTGCACTGAGCCATTTGTAGTGCTTTATAATTTAAACGT